TCCGTAGCTCGCTAATATGCAGCTTCATATATCTGTCTCTCTCACACTCACACACGCCACTATCAGCTGTGGTAATTTTATGAAGCTGTGGCCTTATCTAGGTAATGCTACCTGACATCTTGACAATAGTTTGGTTGAAACGGGATGTGGGGGTGGGGTATTACGTGTATAAAAAGACAATTGTGTGTGTAGGACTAATTACCTGTCCAACAGAAAACTGGCAACTTGAGCGTTACTTTGAAAACCTTTTTCCTCCATCAGTGACTTCCATCGTGTAAATGCCGTGCCAATGTTGATCCGTGTTTTTTGCCGTTTCTTGTCACGCTTGCGTTTATTCTCGTCGTGTTTCCGCTTCTTAGATGACGGGGGTTCGGTGTCCGCCGCTTTTCGTTGTGATACAGAGTAGGCATGATCCTCCATTCGTCTGATGTTTGGCCAAACAGTTTGCAAAGTCACTCACGCCTGCCGCCTTGTTCACCTTTCTTGTTACTGAGGCTCAGTGTACCTGCTTCTTCTTCTTCTTTGGTTTCAGGCAGACTAAACGCTTCTCAGGCATAATATTGCCATCTATTGTTCAGTACCATCTGAGTTCATCTCTCTCAACTTGCCGTAGTTACTTCCGAGCGTAATGGGCGATCTCGCAATCGCTAGTTTGTTGCCTCTGCGCTGCCGTAGCGCAAAGATGTCTGCCTCCATGGCTGCGAGACCCGCTCCTATGTAATTATAAATAACGAATTCTAAGGCAACGCAAATATTATGGTTAAAAGGCTGAGCTCATAGGTGATGATAAATAACATAGTTATGTGTAATATATTCAATTTCTGACTTTATATCCCTGTAATTATTACACACTGTAGCTTTAATATTTAGTAAATCATCTGCCTTACAGATCTTTGCTTTGGACCTATGATTACCCCTGGAAACCGCATGTTATTTCCTATCAAGCTCTCGTTGTCTGTCGGCATTTAGCAATAAAAGCATAGGGGAAACTTAACATCACAGACTAATGCTAAATTGTTCCTTATGAACAACTTTTGAATTGTCTTGGGGAGACCATACATTTTTGGAAAAGCCCCAAAAGCTCTGAAAATTATTTTTGACTTTTGTTCATCCAGAGCTGTGTCTGGACGGTGGTCGGATTCAGCGGTATCTTCTTCTAAATCTACCTGCGCAGAAAGCACTGCTGCTGGGCAGAGAGCAGTGACAGACCGGGGTCTGTGCTGTAGGTGGGGGAGAATGATGAACAGACCTTCTAGGACTAATTTAAAATGGCTTTTGTTAAACCACCTAAAAACCTCTTGAGATCATTCCTTAGTTCTACCATTGTTGACACTGTTTTTGGGTTTTTGCGGACCACAGGTCGGATTGAAACCCGGGTCAGCCGTGTCGAGGACTAAAGGGCAGATTAAACCGCACACATTAAATGTCGCGTGGGTCTGGTCACGAACCAGTTTTGCTGGCATGCTTCTGCACCGTCGGTCTGAAATTTCTAGGGACGCACAGCAGTTTCCCGCCAAAGCGCAAGGGTGAGCCTATTCGAGAACTCGCAAGAACTTCACGTATTTATCTCTATCTCTTCTACATTTGTAAACACTCCTTTGGATCCTGCTCAAGGATCTGGCTGATCTCCCTCTAGGAGTTGGCAGAGACTTTGGCATATTTATATAATTTGTCTCAAGTATTGCACAAGTTGTTGTACTCCCGCACCTACTCGATTAACCTTTTGTCATAGTTACCCATTGTAGTTGTTCCTCGGTTTTTAAAAATGGCGCGCCCCAGCACCGAATAGAGAAGGACGACCACACAGACAGCCGGAACCAAGGACCAATAACTGCTTTTTGTCTGCGCACTTCCGCTTGAGGTCTGTGCGGGTTTGCGAAAATTAGGGATGCACGATATTGGGATTTTGGCCGATATCCGATATGCCGATATTTTAAAACTCATGTAGCCGATAACGATACCGATGTTAAAGCTGGAAAAAATAATTAGTCATTGAAAATAGCAGTTCTGTTATCCATTTCTGACACTTTGAAAAATAATATACTCAAATATATTTTCATATGCTGATATCAAATAGATTTTTAAAAACGCGGTATCGATCTATTTTACTTTCAAAATCTCGTGAAATTTCATCGTTCTGTTACAAACTCTCGTGATATTTTGCAAATTCTTGTGAGATTTTGTTAGTAAAATAGATCGATACCGCGTCAATATATCAACATATAAAAATATGGCAAAATTTTGTGAATTTTCGGGGGATTTCGTAGCATAACGATGACATTAAGCAATAGTTCATTAGTAAAAGAGATTGATATGGTGTTTTTAAATGGCAATATATCAGCATATGAAGATATTGTGATATTTTAATGTATCAATATTTTTTCCCTCGTCTTTAGACGTTTTTAAGTCTGTAAAAAATAAGTTTTTGAGGAAGAAGAAGTAGTACTATTTTTTTATATATTTTTTTTTAGACTTTAGAAACTCAGAAGCTCATCAAATATCGGGTTAAATATCGGTGGGGTGGCCAATGTTCAATATTCAGTTTTAAGGCCGATACAGGCCGATACCGATAGGGGGCCGATTATATCGTGCATCCCTAATGAAAATATATTTGAGTATATTTTTTTTCAAAGTGTCAGAAATGGATAACAAACTGCTATTTTCAATGACTACTTATTTTTGTCCAGCTTTAACATCAGTATCGTTATCGGCTATGTGAGTTTTAAAATATCGGCATATCGGATATCGGCCAAAATCCCAATATCGTGCATCCCTAGATTCTTATATTGTATCCCATTACACATCATGCTGACATGCAGGTTATACTGGGGCTCATAAATTCAGAAATGTTTTAATGAAGCTGAATTTAAAAGGCTCCAACTTCTGTATTTAGTTGTAATCATATTTGGATGTTTTAAAAGCTGCAATATTAGGACTTCAATCTAGTTTGGTTCCCTGTGTTCATGGAGGAGGGAACTTTTCTGTTGCTTGTAAATATGACAAACTTAGGCTTTGTTCCTACTGCAGCCTGAAGTGACCCAAATCCGATTTTCTTTTTTGCCCATATGCGACCTAAATCCGATCTTTTCATGGCAGTCTGAACGACACAGATCAGATTTTTCCCAATGCAACCCAGGCTACTTAACTATGTGTTCCTGAATCAGATATGAATCAGATCTTTTCAAATGTGACCTGAGTCTAGATGGCCAAGTTGCATTCATCCAACCTGAATGACATTATAATACCCGACAAATGTAATTGTTCTGCGTCTTGCTATGTAGAAGCGGCAAGAAAAATAACAACCACGGTGGACGATAATGCGGAGAGAAGTATTTTTATTTAACCATCTTGAAAAGATTACGGTTTTAAGGTTGGGAAAGATAACTAGATTAGCAAAACCATCTGTTTACTTCCTTAAGCGCAGAGCAAGCTTGCTTGTGATGTCATTGCGTCCTTTACTGTGCATGCAAGACACTTGCGTTGTATGAATGTAGTTCACACAGATCACATATAAGTCGCATATATTTGCAAATGTGAACGGCAATGCAAAAAATTTCAGATTTCACAAAAAAAATTGGAATTGAGCATTAAAGCCTGCAGTGCGAATATAGCCTGATATTTGTGAGTATTTTGTGAATCAGTCTTAAAAATGCTTTAATGACACCGAAAACATCTGAATATCAGAGAAATTTTCTTTCCAATTCTAAATTAAATATTCTAATCATGTGCTGCTTTTGACCACTGCTGATGTTTAGGATAGAACAGAAAAAAAGCTGAGGCAGTATTGTCATTTTATTTTTTTAAAAAGAGACCTCAGACACACAGAGACTAAATCTAAATATTCAAACTCTGACAAACAGCGTCACATTTTCATATAAATCAAACATGTTTTAAAAACTGAATCATGCCTCTGCTTTTAGGTGAACGCAAAGAATAAACAGCTCACCCACAATACTAAAAGTATTTCTGAAGGGAATTAAATACATTTTAAAGCACAATGCTAAAAATACATTCTTTTCCCCAGCAGAGATGACAATAAAACGCAAGCACTTTGGTCTTCCTCCTCAAACGCTTTCATGATGACGTTAGAAACTTGAGGCATCTTGTATGTCAGCACAACTTCACGTACCACGTAGGATTTCCTTCAGAAAATGATTTGTCAATATAGAAATGTGACCACAAAAACATCTGTAACTTTCTTCCACATCAAATCTGTTCTTAAAGTGCATATTTTCGTTTACATACAGACGGTCTTAACATGCTGTCTCTGGTCTACTGCAGGGAGGAGCTCTGAATGTTTCCTCTAACACACATAGAACGTTTATATATGGAAATGCCTTTTAAATCATCACTTAAAAAAAACGGTCTTCAAATGTAAATATTGATCTCGTAAAAAGTAACTCGTACTTTTCCGTCTTCCAGTTCAAAAATCTTAATGTTCTCAGAAGGAAACTGAAGTTTATCTCCAAATAATACAAAACACTAAAACCAAGATTTTTCTGCTTATATTATATAGCTTCTTTTTTTATTTGTCTTAGTTTTACCAGCTCAGTCAGCAGAGGTTCTCTATCTACACATGTATTGCTGTAAATACCACTGATTGCTTGTTGCAGGGCCAGTGGCTTCTACTGGAAGAGAACAGCTCATGGTTTATTTCCAGAGGACTCTACCTGCAGAATGAATGCATCCTCAGGTAGGAACATGAAATGTTTTCAGTTTATACGCATAAAGCTGGTTTACAGCATAGATAACAGTGAGGACCATATATTTATTTATGTGATGAGACAACTTCTGTTTGCTGCAAGTATGTGATCTTCAGCATTAGAGGCATAAAATAAAAATGTAGCTTAAAAAAATAAATTAAGCTAATAAAACAGATTATCTTTCTGCCTTTGAATTTGCAGAGTAGCAAAAAGTCATGTGCAGCTGAGAACATAACTTAGGCTCATAATACTAACATGTTTTGCTGTGTGTTTACAGAACACAACTGAACAACCTAGAATTAAAACAAACACTGAGTGGGTAAATAAATAATGTGAATTGCACAAAGTGGAAACGTTGAAGGTCAGAGCTCTGGAGTGTCATGATTTGATCTTCCAAAGCTGTGAACAGAGAACAAGAAACAATTTTAGATTCACTAAACTAAATCTGCTTGGGTTTCTAGCTTGTATGTAAAACCTCAAAGACAGTTTGGAATTATGCGGGGCTGTATGAAGGTAGATTTGTTTCTTTCATTCAATCAAAAAAAAAAGAAATACATTTGAACGCTGCTTTTCTTTGACAATGTTTTATTTGATAGAAGTCCAGTCTTTTTTTTTTTGTTTAAAGCAACTTTAATTGAAGTGACTGTTTTTTTATTGGACCATATAATGGATAGGACATTTGTGTCTATATTATTCAATCAAAAAAGATGTTGCTTTAAACAAACAGAATCAGTAAAAAAGTAACTTCAATGAAAAGATAAACGTTTTCAATCCTAGAAAATAGTTTAACAATGCAAATAAAATATTTCAGACTCCAAAAATTGCATTTGAACACTTTTTTATTATTATTATTATTGATAATGTTCTCTTTGGTTGAAGTAAAATAGATTACTTCAACCAAAGAGAACATTTTCAACAATGAAAAAAAAAGGAAGTGTTCAAATGCAATTTTTGGAGTCTCAAATATTTTATTTGCATTGTTAAACTATTTTCTAAGATTGAAAACATTTATCTTTTCATTGAAGTTATTTAAGTGATCATGTTGTTTTTTTGATTGAATAATAAAGACACAAATGTCCTATCCATTATATGGTCCAATAAAAAAACAGTCACTTCAATTAAAGTTGCTTTAAACAAAAAAAAAAAGACTGGACTTCTATCAAAGAAAAGCAGTGTTCAAATGTATTTTTTGATTGAATGATAAAGAAACAAACATACCTTCATAGGGCTGTACAAAAATAAATTATATTGTGATTCAATAACTTTATAACCTTTAAACTCATTTCTGTTACAGAGTTACCGAGACCTACTTTCAGCAGCTCCAATGAGGTAAGTTTTATCTATAAATTAATTATCTGAGGGCAGCCTTTAAATGAGCTGATTTTTTATGAAAAACAAGCCATTTTAAATTGAATTCTTCATTAAGTATTAAATACTAGAATTTGAAAATGTATGTTCAAAGCCTATTTCTAAATAGAGATTACCTTTCCTAATTACACATTTAAAAAAGATTTTTTCCAATTTGAAATGGCTTTTTTCTTTTTCAGTGACTAGATATTTGCTGTGTTAAAGGTCAGGGTTTGCCCTGGGAAGCGTTACTAGTTGTCAGCATTGGCTGTGCCCAGTTAGCATAAGTGCAGAAAACAAGTTAAAACACTTCCTACAGTGTCAATCTAAACTAGGATGTTTTAGAAACTTTAAAGGAATAGTACACCCAAAACATGATTAGCCTTCATTTTCTACTCACCCCCATGCTGAACAACACTCTGGAGTACTTTTTTGATATCTCAAATGCATCTGGAGATCTGGGAGGCTTCTTGCTGTCTGCTGACATTCAAATAATGGAGGTCTATGGTGACCGAGACAGAAAGGTCCATAAAAGTCCACAAAAAACGTGTCAATATTCCTCCATACTGCTCGTCCAATGTATTCCAAGTGTCCTGAGTAGGTAGCATCCAGAATTTACTCGAAACGAAGCCATTTAGAATGTTTTTAGAGCATAAACAGTAGTGTATAGGATTTCCTGAAAGCGCGCACATGCGCGCTCCCGACGCTACGGAAGCCGGCAGACCAAACCAGCGCATTCAGCTCGGCAAAGAACTCATGCTCTTCCTCAACACTGAAGTCCTCAGACATTTTTCTTTCGTTGTTTCTTTCTTTGCACAGGTAAACAGCACATTTCTTCTTCTATGCTTGCATTATTGGCAGAGCAGACGCTGAATGCGCACTTTCATCTGGTTTGGTCTGCCGGCTTCCGTAGCGTCATGAACGTGCCGGCGCGCGCTTTCAGGAAATCCTATACACTACTGTTTATGCTCTAAAAACATTCTAAATGACTTCGTTTCGAGGAAATTCTGGATGCTACCTACTCAGGACACTTGGAATACATTGGACGAGCAGTATGGAGGAATATTGACACGTTTTTTGTGGACTTTTATGGACCTTTCTGTCTCGGTCACCATAGACCTCCATTATTTGAATGTCAGCAGACAGCAAGAAGCCTCCCAGATCTCCAGATGCATTTGAGATATCAAAAAAGTACTCCAGAGTGTTGTTCAGCATGGGGGTGAGTAGAAAATGAAGGCTAATCATGTTTTGGGTGTACTATTCCTTTAATTACTGACTTTGAGTTAATTTACTATATTGATCTGTAAACAATCCTTTAGGCTTAGGTGTGTCTTTCTTCTTGGACATCTGAGAATGATTTAGACTCAAAAACATGGACTAATTACCTGGTGGTATGAGCATTTAATGTGTTCAGCTTGGAGCAGTATTTCTGAAATGTTATAATAAAGGAGTTTTATAGGCTTACAGGTATCTGTTTGGGGCTTTCTTAGGCCATTATACTGATATAAACAATATAAAGCAAGTCTAACAGATGAAATGCACATTAAACCAGGTGATTATCCCTGCCTCCTTTTCTGTTTTCGTGATGGACTTTTATATGTTAAAAAAAAAAAATACACCTAAGCCTGAAAGTAGTCACAAAAATCTTATTTTATTGACACTGTAAGCAGAGTTTAAACTTTTTTTTTTTTTTTACATTGGGGCCTTGGTTTTACGTTATTACATCATGCTCTACCCATACTAGTTTTTTGTCATTTGGAGCTGTTCTGAAGATATTCCATTAGGTTATATCCAAGTAACGTCTTCCTATGGGCAACGACTTGGAAGGCACAAACTAAACTGTTCGTAATTTATTCTTTATGGTACGCCAGCATTCATAACATGCAGGTCAGGGGTGTCAAACTGGTTCCAGGTATTCTTTCCAACCAAGCAATCGCACACCAGACTCCAATCTGAACATGATGACTGGACTCTGGTGTGCGATTGCTTGGTTGGAAAGAATACCTGCAGCCACACGGCCCGTTCTGGAACCAGTTTGACACCCCTGATGTAGGTGAATCTTGTCTCCCAGACATCCGCGGTTATATTTTTAAAAAACAAAGCGGAGTGTGTATGATGTCATCCTGTCCACTGAACTGTAGCTAGTTCTACTTACGTGGCCCGGACTGCCTGTCACAACTCCAGTCCGGCGCGTGGATGACATCATACACACTCCGCTTTGTTTTTTTAAATTATAAAAAATATAACTGCGTATGTCTGGGGGACAGTGATTTGCCTACATGTTATGAATGCTGGCGTACCATAAATTATTAACAGTTTAGTTTGTGCCTTCAACTCATTGCCCATAGGAAGACGTTACTTGGATTACAAAACCGGATTATCTTTGGAACAGCTCCGAATGACACAAAACTAATATGGGAGAGTAGAACATGATGTAATAACGTAAAATCCAGGGGGCCAATGTAAAAAACACAGGTTGTACTTTTAATCGGGGCACAGAGAGCGTTGGCACTTGTAGCGTTTGAACCAAACCTTTATCATAGGACATCACATTCTCCATGGTGGCTAAAATATCCTGACAGGTAAAGTACCATAGTAACCATAGTAACCTGACCAAAGTAACCATAGACGTGGACCCTGTCCGCAGTGAGGCCAACGCGCCTAGAGGGCGGCCATCTTGGATCACATGAAAGACGAGTCAGAGATAATATAACAATCTCTTACATGTCACAATCCCTTAAAACTGAATGAGATATATACAAAGTTTTATATTTATATGGTGTATTTTAAAGGATTGCTCTTTGATAATAAGTATTTTGTTTAATAGAGAGGAAGGTGTTGTAATGTAATGTGATTTACAATAAAGAGTTATTAGTTTACATTTTCTTATTTATTTTTTGTCAAATCGTAGTGAATGGTACATTTATGTTGTGTCTAACTAAAGAACAAATGTTCACATTTGCATAAATTATAAAAAAAAAACAGTTTGAAGGGTTAGACACAACATAAATGTACCATTCACTACGATTTGACAAAGTAAAATATTAACAAATGTTTTTTTTTAAACTAAAATAACTTTTGTAAATCACATTACAACAAGTTTTCCTCAATAGATAATAAAACTTATCAAAGAGCACTCCCTTAAAGTACTGAATATTTGTAAAACAATCTTACAATATATTAGTATTTAACTTTGCATATATCTCATCAAGTTTGAGTTCAGCTTAAATAGTTTTTAATCTGAATGAATAATCTAACGTACTATATAAGGCAATTTTAAGGGATTGTGACATGTAAGAGATTATTGTAATATTATCTCTGACTTGTCTTTCATGTGATTAAAATGGGTGCCTCCTATTGATTCTGTCAGCAGCTGTCTGAACTGTGGTCCGATCCCAGATGGCCACCCTCTAGGAGTCCACATATATAATGTCTATCTGCTGATAAAAAAGTTGGAAGTTCTTACCTTGAGATTAAATCCTAGTAGGTCAGAAATGACTCCTGAGACAGCAGACAGGATGACAACCTGGGTGATGTTGTAGAGCAGAGGATTCATGGTCAAACCATACAACCTGAATGGATTATCCAGCTCCTGGAAACAGAGAAAACTGTTAGAAATGCAGACTGTTTGGATCCAAGAGGAGAGGTGAGGCAGTGAGGCGGTACCTTGAGTAGTTTGGTAGCCAGTTTTAGGACATTATTGACAAGCGTCAGCTCCTCCTTCTTGTTTGGCTTCTTCTCCATCTTTAGATAGAGGTTGATCTATGGGGCAGAGGAACAGCTTAGTGAGATCACAGGAACACCTACCCTCGCTGCTGACCATCTGTTTCTGCTCCTACCTGTTCAGTGAGCAGTATGGAGGTGTTGCTGTACTTCTTGCTGGTCTCAGAGCCCAGAGTTACAAACCGGAGCAGGAACAGAGACAAACTGGCACACCAGATCACCAGCTCCCAGTTGTAGTGATACTCCAGGAACGTTTCATGGACGTGGAGAAGCTGAAAGACAAGGACAGAGTCAGGGGGAGGAGCTAAAACACCTTTAATTCAAAGCGGGCTTAAAGTTACCTGAGCACAGCAGATGAAGACTACGGACAGAGTGAGGAGGAAGGCTGATGACACAATGACGTCGACTGAACGCTGAGGGCCCCGTCTCTGTGAATTCGTTCAAACAGATTGTCACTGTGTGTTTCCAGAGAGACTGGTAACCATAAAGCCACACCCGTGGACTGGTACCTTGAGGTATGAGCGCAGCGACAGCCACATCTTTATGTTCTGAACTTTCTTCAGTCGGAAATGAGGAACCTCAGACTTCCTGGCTCTGCGGGCTGATGTCAGGTGACCAAACAGCTTGGCAAACAGCAGCCTCTGAAATATACAGAGATCAGAAGAGCTGAAAAAAATCTGCTGGTTCGACCGTTTCCACAAATAAACATGGATTTTATGCTCTTACCTGTTTGTAGGTCCTCTCTGCCACACTGAGCAGGAAGAAGAAGAGCCAAATAAGGCAAACACGCACTAGGAAGCTGAGTGTTACCATGGTGATAACCAGGGCATCAGATTCGGATCCTCCCCCCAAAGCAACAGAGAGCATCTCGTTTGCTGAGAGCGTGGTGAACTGATCCAAGTCACAGTGCTGAACCAGCCTGTGGGACGAGGAGGGTGTTAGTCAGCATTGGGCTCAACGTGAGCCGCTTCCAGGGACATTGTCTGCTGTACCTGTAGACGAAGGGCGTGAGTCCCAGAGTGACTGAAACCAGGTTCCCAAACACCTGGTAGCCAATGCCAGGAGTGTAGAGGTTCACCTGAACACACAGACAGGAGGGTCACTGTGGTTTACTTAACAAAACCTCAACTTCTCTAACAAGCACTTGAGGAGCCACTCACTCTGTTCATGATCATGCCACTGATCTCCAGGACGGACATGTCTGCCTTCTTACACTCGTTCCCCTCCCACACGATGGCGCTCACCCTCTCCAGGCCGGGGTTGGAGCTGTGCAGCCAGGGAATATGGCTCTGCAATAAAAGCATAATCAACTACAGTTATACGTGAAAACTCGATTTATTTAAACAAATGTTTGGTTAAGTAATGGAGGATGAATAGGAAAATACTCGGTTAAAGGCAACAGGCCTACATACCTGATGGAACGGATCATCTCTGTATTCCTTCTTCGATGGAGGACAGACAGAAGTCCCGCCTGCTTCTCCCTCTGTTAAAAACAGTCACGATGTAAACAGGCGTGCCCGACAGCCTGGTTTCTCATGAACAGTTTGATCAGCTCACCCGTCTCTGAGGTGCAGGATGATCTACATTCTGCACAGTGCAGGAAGTCCTCCCACATCAGGTCCTCTGTTTCAGACTCGTGCCGCGTGCTCTCAGAGTCCTGGGTTCTCATACTGGAACATCTGGAGCTGCAGCTGGTTCCAGATTTGGGAACATCCTGATGGTCAAAACAAAGATTTATGATTATAAAGGGGTTACTGCCTGGCTCTGCATGATTTATCCACCAATCAGACTGCACTCTTTACCTCCACAGCATAGTGTTTCTTGTAAAGATGTGTGTTTTTGCGGTTGCGGAGAGTACAGTCACTGTTCTTTCTTTCAGCTCCCCTGCGGAGGGCGCTGTAGGAGGCTTCAGGATCCTCCTCGCTGGAAGCTTCATCAGATGCAGGCTCCTTAAACACAAAGCCAAATCCACAAGTTGGAAATGTTGTTCTATTGTTCCAATAAATCTTTTTAAGTACTGAGTGATGATTTTGCTTTGCTGACCTTATGGCTGCCTGCTATGAGCAGTCCTGGGCCACGCGTCGTCGGAGAGTGAGAGGGCTGGATGTGAGGGTTCCAGCACGCCTCATCTGGCCGGGTCAGTAGGTCACAGCGCTGATCGTGCAGCTGGAGGCCCTCCTCACTGCTGCGGTTGGTCACCCGTCCATCCAGGGACACGTAGCCATTATCAGTCTCCGTCGATTTATCGATGGACAGCTTGGACTTCTTGGACCTGCAGTGGAAGGGAGGCGAGTAACCAAAGGAGGAGTCAGCAGACTCGTCATATTCAGGCTAAACAAAAACATTTAACAACACTGGAACAGTCATGCAAAAAAAAAAAAACATCTATAATGGAGAATAATAAAAATCAGAGGGAGTCATCATACTGCTACCATACCGAACATAAAGAGAATCAACAAACATCAGATTGTTTCTAGTCAGATTTACAAAAATATTTAAAGACGTAACTGTTGCATGAAATAACCGAAGGGCCTGGAGGAGTTTTGAGTCGCCCAAAACTCCTGCAGGCTGGAAACGGACAACATGGAACAGAGGCAGCATGCAGCTTTAGAACAAAATCATAATCAGCACATTAATCACATCAGCAGTAGCTGCAAAACCCTTCAGCTGCTCATAACAAATCTTGCATTTTAAGTAGACTAAAACAGACTTATATTTTGGGTCGGCTGAACTCTTTTATCCAGGAGAAAAAGAGGTCAGATTGTGAAAGATGTTGCAGCTAATGAAGCAGGCAAAAAGGTCTGAGGCAAGGTTGGCTCTCTGTTTTCCTCTTTAACGATTTAACTATTTCTTTTTAACTTTCACATTTCAAACAGTCAGCATTTGTATTAAGAAGAATCAGACAGATTGATTTTTGTCTTCAAAGCACAACCTTCCCCCATTTAACACAGTCTAATCACAGAAACCAGGAAAATGAAAATACACACCCAGCTTTACAGATATCATGCCAGAAATCTTGGAAGAAAGCACCCAGGCTGTATGTGGTGCTGGCTGAGTGAGAATGTGGCGCCCCCTCCTGTGTGTTATCGGTAGTGCTAGACCCGTCTCCTTCCCTATGCACCTCCATCTGAGAAGCCTTCCTCAACTTCCTTCAGTTTAGAAAGAACGGAGATCAGAGAAGAGACTTAGAGCAGACCAAGAGGCCTTAGAGAACGATATAAAACCCCCACATTAGGTTGGTATTCTGCAAAAGTAGATCATTTGATTTAAGTGATTGGAGTAGATAGATGGAAATTTAATCAAATGTTTATATTCTCTACTGAATTTGTTAATCTAAAAAGAAAAAAATATATATTACAGATAAAAGATCCTGGAAACAAAATGTTAATCAGAAATAAATTTGATTCTGAAGAAAAAAATTAATAATCATTGATAGCGGGGGAAGAAAAGAAAATTGTTTTTTCTGTTAATGTGTCATTAATTGTAGAAGCCCTGCTGGAGGATTTATAGTGCTGGTGGATGAAACATCTGCCCTGAGATGAACTATTACAAGTTCATCGTAAGAAAATAATTAAATTATATGATTCAAGTGTGTATTGCTACCAACGGTCAATAATGTTAACTCCACAATTGCGGTCAGTGTCTCTAGTGAGGAAAAGTCACATAATGTTTGCTGACAGACTGCTGTATCCAAGCTTATTCATGGAAAGTTGTGTGGCAGAAAAAGCCTTGAGAGGATGAGCAAACAAAGATCTGATCTATTAGTTGCAAACTGAATATTGTGTTTATTAGCTCTTAACCATAAACAACAAAATCATTATTAGAAAGTATATGGAGTATTTTGCTCCATGTAATGCAGCTTTATGTGGGTTTTTCTTCTACTTCCCTATTAAAGATTTCTGTTCCTCCGGTGAATGAAAACCTGCGGCTGATCCAGCGCAGAGAGAAACACTCCTAAAGCAGAGGTTCAGATTTATACTGGCAGCAGCATGCTGACGGACATGAAACCAACAAACTGGAAACACTCCAAAACACAGCAAACAGCCACACCATTAAAAAACTAATATAGTATCACAAACAGCTTTTAGGAATTTAAAGAAACAAGCTGTTTGTTTATCAGTTAACCAATAACAGGCGTATTGATTATGGATTTAAATATCAGAAACTGATCCTCCTTTTATGTTTCTGTCCCAACATTTCACTCTGATTTCACTTTTCTTCTGGTCGTATTTAAAAAACTTCCCGTCACTGCCTTCCTGCACCAGCTCACCTGCGTCTCTTGCCGCCGCTGCTGGAGGCGGGTTTTGGGGTCCTGGTGGAAACGATCTGACAGTGGACGGTTCCCAGCAGCAGCATGAGCCAGATGGCTCCAAACACCTCGGTGGCTGGGATCCCATGAGGCTGGGAGATGGTCGCATAGAGGGCTGCTGCTGCCACTGAGGAGAAACAGCAATCCATGTTTACCGTTAGGATCCACATCTGGTCCATCAATGCAGTGTATTTCAATTCAATAAAGGAAATAGATGTTTTTTTTTTTAAGGTTATTGCCTTTATTAATGGCATAAACAGCTGATGGACATTTAATTCCAGTTTGCATCGTTTTACAGCTCCTCCCAAATAGAAAAGTGCATGAACGTGAATCTGTCTTTATAATTGGATTAGACTGATAAGATATTTATAATATAAATACAATCTTGTTTTACTAAAGTAAAGTGCCATAACAGCATATGTCTGCTTTTCTTTATTTTTGTTGATCACAGTGTCTCTCTGTGAGCTTTAGTCTAATCTTCTCTATTAGCTGGGAGGGCATTAGGCCAGGAAAAGTCCATCCTGCTACTATTTGGATCCAGCAGGATTAAAATCGATACCAGAAACTAGAACTGTGTCCATCAGCTGGTGAATGGAGGAGGAATCTATAGTGGAGGCGTAACCCGTCACACAGCGATGGGCTCCGGAATCTGATGAAAACAAATTTACTTTTACAGATTTATTTCTAAACTAATTTCCTTCTTGCTTCTATAGGTTGCTACTTTTATTCTTGTGTCCCGTCTTCTTTTTGTCTCTTTTTCCTGCTTCGCTTCCTGTCCTTTCATGCTTGCTTTCTTCCTCCCTTTATGTCGTACCTTCCTTCCTGGGTTTTTTGCCGTCTCACGAAAGGCCGCTATGCAGATAAAGGCCTCTTCCTTCTAAATATAAGCTTTCCCTCTATATACCCTACATTACTCTATAAAAGGGGTTTTCAGAATTCAGTGAACCCAAACTAAACTCTGAAAGTCAGGTTCATGGAGGATAAATTGTTGGTTAGAGGTGGAAAAAGGCAAGCAGGAAGGGTGGAGGGAGCAATGAAAGGCAACAGTGTACTTCGTCCAGCATGGGTGGTGGAAATCATTGACGTTAGAGTGGGGTGGTGCTCCCTAATCGCTGTGTGCACATGGTAGGCCTCATGTGTAAAAAGGCAAACTAAACACAGGAGCCTGAGTTAGAAACCTCTAAAATAAGCTAAAATGTTCAAAATGCTGAGATTTGGTTCAGTACACTGACAGAAAAATGAGTTAAGTCCTACCTTGCAGCAGATACAGAGCCAACAGCAGTAGAAAGATGCCTTTAGAGGTGACCTGAATCCACCATCGGTAAAAGAAGGGGAAGAAAACGACTCTGACGAGGCCCTTCCTGGTCAGTGACGTCCACGGACTCTCTGGTTTGGCCTTGGCAAACGCTGAACCTGAGAATCAAACAGGTTATAGCTCATCTTCTAGAGCACAGAAGGCTTTAACTTTTACTGCTGATCACTTTGCTCAGTATGTGGGAGATAGAGTCTGCTGTGATGAAGATGACGCCCCAGAGATTTCTCACCTCTAACTAAATCCACATCTATCAGATCTGGTTTGACGTGTCCCGTCTTCTTTGGCTTGTTCCTCAAGCCCTGCAAAGCAATACAGAGATTAATTAAAACATCACATAGATGCAAATAAAGCACTTCATGCATAAGAGGTCACACTGTGCGGGTGAGAACAAAGACAAGTTCTAATCTTTCAACAGCCTTTGGATCTACTCACTTCTAGTGGGTTTATATCTACATCCAGCATCTACTCAGCAGTTCTTAAACCCAGCTGCATCATGTCAGCTGTGGCTCAGGAAGGGGCTTTGATCAAATACGACCCTGGGGAATAACCCCAACTTCCTGCAGCTGCGTGTCACTTCCTCCTGTGCTGCTCTGTCTTTATGCACCGAGTCAAAAAAAGGTACTGAGACTACTTCACTTCTTATGGATTAGAAATATATTTACCCATCCACATCACACCTTTTTCTGCTGTGGTAAAGATGGTATTATTACTTTGTTCTTAAAGACTAAAACATAAAAGAGTTATTTCTGTTTCTTGCATACATATTTCTATTCTAGATCATTCTTATTTTATATTAAAGGAAGGTGTCGAAAAACTGAAGATCCAGAAAAGCAAATCGAGATATCTCTACTAGACCTGATAGATGCTGTTAAATAAAAAATATTTACATGCCAAAGAGTCCTTCATTTAGATGTAGTCACATCCTACTTCATCCTGTCAGACAGGTTCAATTATTAACTTCAAACCAAGACTTAGGTTGGTTTGACACTTTAATAGGTAAATCTACAATTGAGACTGTATTTTTTATCCAAATATTTATATCAAAATTAGTGGAATAATCTAAATTATTTTAATATGAACCCCATCCCCACCCAACCACAAAGAAAATACCTGCAAGATATTTTTTCAGCTTTAGCACAAACATAGCTTGTACCAATTTTAAATAACACTGTTATTACCAGTAACATAAGAGCGTATCCTGATCTATCATGGCCTTTAAAGTCATTCCTCTCATACCAACATTTACACAAGCCAATCAAGTCCCGTTATCAGCGATAGCAATGAGATATTGGGCTCCTTATCTTAAAACGGCTCCAACAAGCTGATAAAGTGTTTGCAGAGGGGAGGAAACCTTCAGGAGAATAGGAGTGTGTGTAGGTCTTGAGGTAGCTGATCGATAGCTTCCTCTTTGATAAGCCCCCATCTCTGCTATATATAGGTCTTTATCTTTAGAAATAAAATGTCTCCATGCTGATAAAAGCAGTTTGTGAATTTTCCATGTCATTATTTAGCAGATGTTCAACATCCACTCATTAAAAATGTATTTGCTTCCATTATTTGCTTAAATGATCCTAAATCTGCAAAAATAAAATGCATTTTCTGTTTTCACCTGCAGGGGGCGACATGGGGTTAAACCATAAGACAAGATTCCCTTACAAAGTCAACTATTTAGCATCAGTGAAGGGGTTTGATGCAAATTTGCATCAGATAGTAAAGAAAGTGAAAAGCCTAAATCTGCACATCACATAGTTCTTAAAAAGTTGTCATTTTAGATACATTTAAAACAGCAGAAAATAAATTAAGGTGGTTAAAGATTGTGTTGTATGGTGTTAAACATAAAACCACAGTAAATTATGAAACAACGTCTCTAGATTTATGATAATGATTGCCTGGGTTCTTATCAGCCTCTGCAGTGTATAATTAGACGTTCTTACGGGTAAGGAGTGCACAGCACTTGTGCAGGACTGAAACTGCCTGCTGCAGACTGGGAAACCTTGCAGAGAGCTGCATCAAGGTCAAACAGCCCTATGAGAGGCGCAGCTGTCTGCTTCTCATTTCGGTTTTAGAGAAGTTGGGGCAGCTTTCGAAGAAGAAGAAGAGATGCAGTCGACTATTCTCACAACTTATTTCTTTCTGCATGTATTCTGACCTTTAACTACATTTCATTATATTATATCCAAACACTTTGATATATTTTGTTCTATGAGGAACAAACGTCACAAAGATGAAAAAATACAGCAAAGTTTAAACCCGGTTCTGTCATATTTTCATAGCAACTTTGATGTCTGTTCAAATAAACGCCAAAACATTCATCATAAGACACGACGGTCCTGAAGGAAGGAATCAGGAGATCCACGGCTTTGGTGGAGAAATGGCTCTGACAAGTTGACCGATCTGCTCTTCGGTGGAGAGGAAAGAGCAACGATGCTCTGTATTTACAGCCATGTACGGGCATATCGGACATGAGGAGGAAGCTGTACTGGTCAGATGAGACCAAAGATTAATGTTTGGCTGCATAGTAAAAACAAACCAGTAGATCTCATTACAGCAGAAACACCGCCCCTTAAGTGAAACACGATGTTGACAGCATTATGCTGTGGGGATGCATGTCAGAGCTGACAGATAGATGGAAGTGATCCTGATCATTACTTTAAAACCTGATAATGGCAAAATGGCCTTGTCAAACTCCGGAAAACAAACAAAAACATAAAACAAAACCATGAAGTTTGTGGTTGTAATGTGATGGAATAATTGATTTCAGAGAGAAACAAGGTTCTCTCATAACCCAGGAGCCCAGGCCTTTAACCCGACACCATGATACTAACTTCTGCTAAAGCCCAGTTTGAATTACACAAACACACAAAAGGAGCCAGATTCCTGCTATTACGGATCAGAATAACTTGTTTAGAGTGCACCATCAGTCAATAAGTGATAGCAGGACTATAGGGCAGCTTCAAGCCTTGCTGGTAAATCATTTACACTACTGCTCCTCTACAACTTGATCTGTCCTCTGTTTTAATAAATTATTGTTTAACTTTGCTGGAGTGAAACATAGAAAAACCAGGATAATAACTTGCAGTAAAAAAAAAAATAAATAAAAAAAAAGTTTTGGTTGTAGGATAAAAATGGCAGATGTTTATTCCTAATGCTTCCCTGATTTCATGACTCATGCTGTGGTCCCACCCAGACAACTCCAGCTGCATTTAAACCTCCCTGCAGCCGGTTATAACTTGTCAATTAAAAATGCAGGCTGGGTTAGTTTGTAACACTGCAGCTCAAGTCAAACCACAAACTAAGAATCTACGGCGTGGGAGATAGGACATGCACGGTGGGACACAAGAGGACCGTCCACCCCGCTGCATACTCACCAGAGAAATAAACTGTAGAGAGGAGGTGGAAAAGATGGACACAGGAGGTGGATAGAGACCAAAGAGATTAAAAGAAAAGCAGTGGAAAAGAGCTGATGGTACAGAGTCAGAGGGGAGAGAAATAAAACTGCACACAAGAGGAGAAACTGAAGAGAAAACAAAGCAAAGGATGACAGAAGACAAATAGAAATAAAACAAACAGAAGCAACAGACCTTTATTTCTCTTTGCTCCACTGATTTCTCCCATATCTGCTGGTCATAGGCTCCAATCTGCAAAGATAAATATGGCTGAGAGTCACAAGGAAGAACGTTTTAAAGAAACCAGATATAAAGCAAACTTATCTCCAAATTGCACTTCAAAAACAAACAAATAATATTCACAGAAAAAAATGTATTTTCCTTTTGGAAAAATTGGACTGGTTAAGAGTTTTCAGGTTCACCAAAGGTAATTAAAAAGGTTCAAAAGGGTTAAAATTTTCAATTCTGCAGACCAACATTTAGAAATAAATTTAATTAAACGCCCAACGGTTTCTCTGGCTGTATGGAGAACAGAGTAAAGCTCTAACATATCAACCGTCCGACGCATAGTCAGGATTTTTTTTGAGGTGTGCAACTATGATTGCAGATTCTCTGCGTGGGGGGGCGCGGTCACGTACATAGACCGATTTGACAGTCGCAGAGGCTATGCGTCAGAAGAATAAATTGGCCTTAAAACCTCCAAGAGTTCCAACGTTTCATTTCTCTTTGGGATCAATAACATATTTTTCACTTGATCTCTTTACACGGCAGAGATATCATTATGTGTGGACAGTTTTGTGCACAATTAATAATTTGGCATACAGGTTTTATGAGTATATGCACTGTGTGTCAATATGACCTTCAGACCAAACGTCTCATGGCGTCGGCAACACAAATAAGATCACAGACTCATTTTGTGCCTCAATTTGCATTTTGATCTTTTTATATCGTCGATGTACCTTTATAGTATTTTATCAAAGGTTTTAAACCATATTTCCACTGAGTAGATGAACTCTTCAGTCAACACGTGAAATAGAGGAAATGATGCCTCCCTCAAACAAATTGAGCAACAACCATATGTTATGTGTTTGTACTGAAGCATCTACAGTCAAATAGAGAAAAAAAAAGACGCGTAGGAGAGTAAAAAAAAAAAAGCCATTGAGTAAAGGATTTTTAATAATGTGGAGCTTTTCTTTGGTTGGCTGCATTTTGTTATTAAAATATTCGCTGGCTATGGTTCATTCATTTGAAGGGTTTCCTGAAACACTAAACAAGTAAAAATTTTTAGTTTTAAGCTCTAAAGACAAAAAGAAAAAAGCTTGTAGATCAGTGAACCCAGTCTGACAGCGTGTGGTTTCTTATTAACACCTCTTCCTCTGTTCAGTATGGCCATAACAGCATCTTATCTAAAGAGCTGTGGGTCTAATTAAATCTTATAAAACAGGAAGAAGAAACATCATCCAGTTTTCATAAGGCCACAGTGTCAGAAAGAACATAAATAAAGGAAGCTCTTCAGATCACTTTAATCCTGGCTAACTAACCACTACATGATGCTAAAATTCATCCAACAATCAAAACGTCAGGTCTCAGAATAACACCTTTTTGCATAATTTAGGAGTTAAACTAAACACAAATATTAGGAAGATTTGGAGAATGTAGAAAAACTTATCTCTAATATCTTTTTCTACTTTTATATACGAGGATCTTTCATAGATTGGGTGTGTAACACTGTGTTGGTGGAATACACCAGAAACCATCTAAAACATTAGATAAGATAAGTAGAAATGTTCTCCCCTGGTCTAAATATAAAAAATCCTCCAAAAACATCCCACTGGATTCTTCACGCCAACACTTTGCAATTATATAACACCATTAACATTTAAATCTGTTGCCTACAGACTGAAAAACTACTCAGCTTCTCTCCCCTAACTCTAAATTCATCAGACGGTTAATAATAACTCAGCTATAAATGGTGATATGTCCTTGATTCATATATTTTTTTGTTTTAATCAAAATGCTCACAATCAGGCTCAAATATAAAGTAAAAATGGTTTGACAGTTTTGTTGCACAGACTCAGACACCGAGCAGAATCAGAGCGGCTGTCTCGCCGCTATGATCTGGGCTTAACTCAGCTCTGCAGTCAGGAAGAAAAAAAAAACACAAGCTCAACATAACAGTCTGAGTCTATTTGCAGTCTGCGTCCAGACAGAGTCAGAAATACACAGTGACTCATTCCTGCAGAGAACTGACTAAAGAGCTGCAGGTGAGAGAGTCAGTCTGCAACAGAAAATGAACCACAAACATTATTTTCCAAGGTAAAAGTTTGACTCACATGCATAGCTGAATCAAAAACACCAGTATTCCGGCATCTTTGATTTAGCTATTCAGATGTCTGGACCCTGCAGGTTACAGACTAATAAAGAAAATCTACCTCAGCAGGGGCGGATTTATTTGGTGAACTAGTGGAAAACTCAGATAAATCGGTACTTGTGTGAATCTGGTTTGGTTTCAGGAGCTCTAGGCAGTAAGAAGGAACGGTTAAATAATTCATCATGCACAGTTCCTGCAGGATGATACACTGAGCTGGGGGTCCTTCATTCAATCATTTAAAGTTGTTGTTAATAGTTGCCACCAAACCCCAAAAAGATTAATGCATTTTTCTTATGAAGTCTAAGTGAGCTCTGAGAAAAATCCATTAAAACTTCCTTTCAGGCATAGGTCTGTCATAAAGGTATAATGAAACTAGGGCTGAGACAATTAATTGGATTAATCGTGATTAATGGATTACTGAAATAATCAACAACTAATTTAGTGATCGATTGCTAACTGGAGTTTAGAGCCTGTAATATATGCCTTTAGCTGACAGAGTGACAAAAATTGTAAAGAAAAAAAAAAATAATATATATATATATATATATATATATATATATATATATATATATATATATATATATATATATATATATATATATATATATATATATATAAAAATTGCATTTAAGATGAAAACTTTTTCATATGTCAATATGTCAATATGCTCTCAAATGGAAAAGTTTTGGTTTCACCTGGTTTGATTTTGTAAAAAGTCTTCTTTAAGGACCCTTTGGCCATTTTTTTATTAATCACTTAATCAAAAAATAATCAACAGATTATTCGAATTGCAAACAATCGTTAGCTGCAGCACTAAAAGTAATGTAAAACTATTTTTGCTCCCTCAAAGATTTGCTCTGGTTCTGCTTAATTATAACATGAACATGTTTTATATCACCAAACTAATTTTACTATCAACAAGACAAAAGGCGAAGTTTGTGGAAGATGTTAATTGTTCTACGAATGACAATCAGCTAAACATGAAGAGTTCATTTGCAAAAACAGATAACTCTGTTTTTTAAGGTTAAATTTACATACCTCAGCTAATTTTTGCAAATGAACTCTTCAAGTGCATTTTAGAAAAAGAGCGTCATATAATTAGACAGATATAGTGTCAGTGTGCCTAAAGGAGTGCTTGTGGTTGAAACTTTGAATCTGAAATATTTTTTCATGGCGATCATGTTAAGTTTATCTCACTGAGTTTATAATAACTTGGCAGAGTTTCAGCCCTCTCACTCAGATTCTCTTCCTGTCTCTGCAGGATTAAAAAAAGAAAAACTGGATGCCAATCTATACTTTTCAACATTTTCCCATCACAGCAGATAGCAGCTAAGTGTGACGTCTTTGATCTACAAACAAGCTTTTGTTTGAATTTTATTCATGTGTCCAAGGAGGGGAAGACTGGAAGTAACTAATCTGATTCACATCTAAGAAACAAACGCCCTGACAACAGGTGATACTACTCTTTAAAAAGGTGTATTCATCCCTGACTCAGCGGCTGCCGTCACTAGTGATGCTTCTGCCCAGACAAGCTTAGTTTGACATAAATCTTCTGCAACTCGATCCAAATTAAGAGCTCGACTTTAAACGATATCCTGAAAATTATATTAAGACAAACAAAATTGAAGCTATAAAACAGAACTTGTTTCATGCACCACCTTGCATCTCTACACCTTTGATGAAGGTCTAGAAGTTGTGCGTCATGTTTTGTTTGTGTGGTTGGAAAATGTACGTCTGCCAACTGTAAACAGGACCTCGGAGAGGAGGGAAGGGTGGAAGACGGAGCAGAAGTTTCAGAGTAAAAGCAGGCAGAGAGGGATGAAGCTTTAGAGACAGAGATGCAGATGAGAGTGTAAGCTGAGAGCTGCAGGAAGAGCGGTGCATGAGTCCAGAAGAATATCAGATATCTGAGACCATGGAATAAGTGGACATACAACACCGGCCGGAGTCAGGCTGAGCTGGACTGCCTGAAACATTTTGGCTTTTCGCATGAATGCAGATGCAAGAGAGACGAGAATCCGGAAATCCAAATCATATTCAGATAATCAGCCATGGTCCAAAAATAAAGCATATTGTTTTACCCAAATGACTTCTGGGCAGAGACACCACAGCTTTGTGGAGGATAGATTTGTGACGCAAATCTCCCTTGAACAGCAGATTTCCTTTACTAAATGTGAAAATGTTTTTAAACCTCATCCTTGGTCTGCAGATTTGTAATAAAATACAAAACTAATTCAAGATAAAAAAATTTCTCTACTTCTGGATAAGAAAGCATAGTTGAGCAAAAACAAACAAAACACCTCTTACCTTTTTCTGGTACCAAACAACAGCATCTTTTACTTTGGAAGCCATTTACATTTCCTTCTCCAGCCTAGGGCATCTTAAGACTGCAAACAGAGAGAGAGACACAAGACGACGGCAGAGTGAGTGACAAAGTAATGAGGAGGCAGAGAGGACAGCTGAGATCTACACCTGGTGAGAAGGTGTGTCCCAAGATCTAAAAAAAGAAGAACACACACCCTTGCACTTTTAGCTTAAAGGAAAAACGGTGCAACGTTGTTTCCCCTCAGCACCTCCCATCTTTCTTAGAACTGAGGTTGAAAACAAAGTCTAAACAGCGTAGAGTCACAGGATTATCCAGAGTATCGTGATCAGCAATATAAAACATTCCTTTTAACCTATTGTATAAGTAACCACGCCACTAAGCAAATGGCCAACCCCGAAACGCTGAAAGGAGCTAAAAACAGATAAGCTGATGACATAGAAATCAGTTAACAAGTTATTTGACTGATTATTATTTTTTTTTTAAAGCATGAACTAAATAGTAATTTTTTTTAAGTACAGCTTGATTCCATTTCATTTGCAAGTATGGAAGAAAATTGAAAAATTTCCCGAGAGAAAACAGCCTGTGTCGCTGGTCTGTCTGTAATTTTAGGCCCTGTGCACCCCCACTGAGCTTTCCACCTGCAATTTGCAAAGCTAGTTTTTCTAAATATCATGTTCTATTTTTGTGTGCGCTGCTTGCAATACAATATTACAGTCTGTGCTCCTTATTTTCTCCACCTAACAAATCTGTTTTCAATGACGTTAACAGCGAAAGTGCAGCTATTGCTGCCCATGCACAGAGAGCAGCCGAAACACTAGTTGGTAAACATTACGTTTAAAGAAAAGCTCAAAGTTTTGCTAATTAGAAAGAAGATTTTTCCAAAAGCAATCATAAGAAGCACATAAGAACTTTATATGAGATCAACAAACCTTACCAAAACAGAGAACAAACATGCTAATGCTAACCTAGCTTTTAAGTGACCTAAGCCAAATTATGAATAAAACTAGTAGTTATTTTTTTAAGACATCAAGTCACAAATATTTACTAACAAAGCTGTTGTCAAGAAAACTAATAAAACACACGAAAAACAGCAGCACAGAATAATAAAAATAATGCAGATCAGGTAATAATGACAGGAAAGGGTGATATAGATAGTAAATAAAACTTCAGGTTTTAATCATACAATCAACCTCATCATCCTTTTCCCTTTGATTTCATGAAATCCATAAAACTAAAAAAAAACAAACAACCATCATTACAACTAAAAACTAATTCTCTGATGATCCCATAGTAAACAATGAAACTATAACCTGTTGCAGGTTTTCTATTATCATATCTTTGTATAATTAGAAATGTTTTTGATTGAAATGTTGCCTGATCAAATCATTTTTGAGTTGTACTGAGCTGATATTAGTACAAATAAATGTTCGATGGGGACGCAACTTGAGGACTGAATAAGAATCGTGACATGCTATTTGATATCTCCAACTAAATAGATTTTAATGGGCATGTAAATCTCCAGCTTTATAACCACAGAGTGCGATAAGTATATCCTGATAAACCAGACTAAATGTGAGATTAAATGTGTAATATAGCCTGGTGCCGATGAATAAGACATCGGGAGATTGTTGATGAGAACAACCCGTTGTCTTTCAAACCACTGTCTGTGCCTATTGGCCAACGCTCTGACCAATGAGCTGAACTGACTGTGACATAGTAAGCGTGACAGAAAGCTGGTGGGGGAGTGTAAAGAAACAGCCTGACAGTAAGACAATGAATGCGTCTTTCTTAAAAATGAAAGAGCGTACAGCCTCTTCCTGTCCACGTTTCAACGAAAACCCCAAGTCTAATCCTTCCAAAACTGATTCCAAAGCTGAATCAAAAATCACCATCAGAGGCAGTGGTCCTTCATACACAAATATGCCAAAAGGGGGCCGCTTAAAACGGGCTGCCGTTAGCCTTGGAGTTCTTCGGAAACAGTTTTTTTAATTACACATTAAAATTGGTAAATGGACCATATAGTGACGCTTTAAAGTATAATATTCTCGCCTCAAATGATCTTAAAAACTTACTTTTATTGAACAACAGCAACAGAAAAGAGAACTTAACTTTTAATGGAGCGCTCCATTGAAAGCTGCTACTGTTCAATAGTTGTTGCCATCTTCCTTGTGCTTTCTCCAGCGTCACGCAGCTTTGTCGTCCCGCCCTCAAAACCCCGACTGTTTAGCATCCAGAAATTCAAAACACATCTCTGCGTTGTGATTGGCCCACCAGTTCCAGGGCCTGGGGCATTGATCGAGGCTAGACCACTCACATGCACCACATGGCCGCTGGTCAAATAATTGGTTACTAGTCTATTATAAGTATAAGTCTATTATAAGTGACCTAAACCTGGGAAAGGTGCTCGACTGTGTGTTCGACTGCCAAAGCAGGACCTCAGACATCAATCTACTGATGGCTACACTGTTGAACACATGAACTTTCAGGTCACATAACAGAATTTTATTTGTAAACAGAAGGAAACCTTTGTAAAATACTTTACTTTTGGTGATATATTCAAAGGTTTGTGTTTTTACAAAACTAAACAATTTTTACACAGATATATAATGCTTATGCAGCCATATTAAGCACTCCTCAAAAAATAAAGGTAATCCCCAGATTATCAGTTCTTACTTAATAAACAGGATTTTTTTCCACAGGCCTATTACAGCAATAGATTATAGCTCCTGTGTTAAAGGCTGAAATTAAAAACGAAAAACAGAAAAACTAAACTTCAAAATCATTAGTAAAAATAAAGAATCCATCATCACTGCTGCAACTAGGGCTGAAACTAACGATTATTTTAAAAATCGATGAATCGGACGATTATTTTTTCGATTAATCGATGAATCGGACAAAAAATATTTTTTATATTAACCTCTTTATTCCAAAATAAACATTTTAGACAGAACAAACAAGCACATAAGTACAGGTTGCTCATTAACTGTACTGGTGCAATATGAAAAATAAATGTTTGTGTTAAAACTACGCAAACTTACATGAGAAATGTAGCTGTACATCCACAAAATATAGGGTACTTTGTTTCATAAAGCGCAAAAAAATACATTTTTGTTTTTAAAAGCCCCTAAGGGGTTCAAACAATAGGCCCCCCCATTTCAACAAATGAGTTTTTTTAGACTAGAAGAGGGCTGCCTTTTAAGACAGGAAAGTATAGCAGTTAAAGTTGCTACTTGAGAAAATACTGAACCATAGAGATAAAAATAGCCCTGTGATTCAAATTATAAATTGTATTTGGAATAAAAATGAGAGAACTAGGGGTGCTAAAAAACACATCCTCCAAAGACTCCAATTTACATGGGAATGTGGCAGATAATTAATTGACATATTACTGATCTTGCTGGATTTTATTCTGCTTTACTTCCATAAATTGCAGGATCTTCTTTACTTTATCTTCACCAGAAGATTTAAACTTTAAAAGCCTTGCCCTCATAATTTGCAAGTTAATTTATTTATAAAGTAATTGTAAACGCTGCTTAAGTTAATTCAAATGAAATTAAAAGTAAAATAAGTAGCCAACCTTATCACTGTCTGTAACCTACTAACACGGTAAGGAAAGCATCAGATGAGCTACCTGAGAAACTAAAGTAACGTTTCCCCACTTTAAAACCAAACAAACATGGTGGTTCCGTGCCATGTTAATTTCTTTTGAAAAAAGTTGCATGTTATCACTTTTTTCGCTTTACAAAGCGCAGGCTATTTTAATTATTGTGATCAATTTGCGCCGCACAATCCCGGTGCATGCGCGCTTCATTTGCAGTCTGGACGCTGAGGCTCTGACTGCAGAGCTGAGAGGGACTCCTGCGGGAGCGGGGGGAGGCGCCCCACGGCAGAGTAGGAATGATACATGCTTTCACGTAAGAGTCTCCAAAAGCTGCCAGTGACACCGAAAAAAGTCGCCAGATTTGTCGCTAGTCGCTTTTTTGAAAAATAGTCGCTGGAGGGGTCTGAAAAGTCGCTGAGTTGGCAACACTGCACCTGCAGAGCTGACTCGCTCTGTCATTTTTTTTTCTTCCTCTTTCAGTCAAGAGGCAGTGATGACGGCGCGGCGGATGACGCAATAATCGCGCGACACAACTAATCGATGATGAAATTCGTTGCCAACGCTTTTAAAAGTCGATTTTTATCGATTTTATCGATTCGTTGTTGCAGCCCTAGCTGCAACACAAGGTTTCCTTTTAAAATCAGCTTGAAATGCAGCTTATGTAGCACTATGATGCACAGGTGATCTTTCAAGAGGGTGCATTCCTCAGTCAGTGGGGGTTGGAGTAAATAAGCAGAAGGTGTGGTTATTAAGCAGCTGTTGAGATCAAACCCAGAGGCTTTTGCGGTTAGCCACTATCCTTTCCTCTATACTCTGTCTTAACTTCTCTTCCTTCCTACTTTATGTCCCTTTGTGACTCTTTTTATGTCTATTTTTGCGTTACATAACTGTGGCATTGTCCTGCTGTGTGAGGCGAGGCGCTCAGAGCAGCCGTTGTAGATCAGAGGGACTGACGGAGCAGGAAGAGATTTCTCTTTAAAAACAGAGATGATGAAGGAAGTGACATGACAGCAGTATTTGATAATATTGAGTTACCAATCAAAGGTTTTAGTCTTTCCTGCTTTTCCCCACAGCTCCACACCAGCAGTGTGAAGATGTCCTGCTTTGCATGTGAAAGCTCATCAGTGCAGCCGGGATTACAGGCTCGTTTTTTCCAGTCCTTTTCTGGAACTAAACAATATTGTTTTGAGTAGTGCCACGGACCAAAAAAGGAGGGGGCAACACAACGTCATAGGCTAAAAATAAAAAAACCCTTAAGATTATCTCACGAGGCAGCTTTGTGACCATCTGCAGCCAAGAGGGTGAGCTCAGTTCATGATCACATAGCTCATCGTTCAGCTACCAAACCACACACCTTTAGATCTGTCATAGATGTATCGCTTCAGAGAAATGCTAACCACAAACCCAAACCTGCCCGTTGTAAGGAACGTGTGTAAAGGTAAAGCTCAAGAGCAGGAAGA